CACTCAGCAGAAAATTTTCATTCCAAAATATTTGACAAAATCAAGAGTGGTCTATATTTTACTTACGGTCGCGATGCTGCTATAGATATACGGTGGTGTTTGCGGAGATCTGGCAACGTATACGGCTTAATAGCTAAAAGACCAAGAAATATATTAATTCCGCGCTACATGAAAACAACATAGCAATAGCAGTATTTTTAGACATACGAAAGGCATTTGATGCTATTAGTCATTCCATTTTACTGGAAAAAATGCATTCTTATGGGATAAAAGGTAACTCGCTTGATTTTTTTTCTAGTTATCTATCGGCACGCAAACAAAAGGTAGTCATTGGTGACATCAAATCATCCTACGGTTATATTAAATGCGGGGTGCCACAGGGTTCAGTTTTGGGCCCTATATTGTTCTCTCTTTATATTAATGATGTCCCGCGATCCCTACAAAGGTCAAGGGCACTGATGTACGCGGACGACACTGTTTTAGTTTTCACAGGACACTCCTTAGCAGATTTACAAAATGACGCGATGACCGATTTATCGAACATTTCGGAATGGTTTGCCAGGAATCAGCTGACTGTTAACTGTACTAAAACAAAGTATATGGTGTTTCACTCTCGTAGGAAACATATTGACGCTGAATCTCTTAACCTAACAATAAACAACACTCCTATTCAACAAGTTCCTTGTTTTAATATTTAGGCGTCACTTTTGATGAACACTTACACTGGCATGAGCAAGTACAAAGTGTGTGCGCAAAGCTAGCCTATGGCTGCTATTCTCTAATAAAAGCTCGCCAATATTTTCCACAAGCTATTCTCCGCACACTCTACTTTTCATGTGTCATTGTCACATAGGTTACTGTCTGGAATCGTGGGGTGTGACGTACAACAGTTATCTAAAAACTCTTGAGCGACTTCAAAAGCGTACACTGAAAATCATAAGCCAAGGTGAATCAGTAAGTAATATTTTCCAATCACAACGCATTCTCTCAGTTCCGATGTTGCGTGACTACAAAATTGCTGTTTCAGTAAATAACATAATTAATAGAAATTCACCTTTGCCTGCTGATCTTTTTTCAATTCCTAAACGCAATACGCGACATGCTTCGAATGGTAATTTCAATCTGCCCAAATGTTTAATGTTTACGGAGAAAGACTGATACAGTTTAGTGGAACAAAAATATGGAACACGGTCCCCCTAGAGATTAAAACGGCACGTAATTTCAGCATGGCATGTAAATCATTTTTTCTGTGGAGTCAAGACATGTAAGCATGTGTGTGATTTGATTTTCATTGTATTTTTTTAATAAGTGCCTATGTATAGAAACTAGCTGCAAGCTAATAAGTATGCATATCTGCAAGAAAAAATGTATTACTGTGTTATCTGTATCACATGATTGTTTTTTTTATGTTGTTACCTCAGAGCTGACCTGTACACTTTTTTATGTTGCACATTGTATTGGACCGTCCACTAGCCACTTTAGGCTATCGGTCCAAATAATCCCTGTAATTGCATATATCTATTTATGAAAATAAAGCTTCATTGATTGATTGATTGATTGATTGAAATCGTTCCTGGTCAGTAGCAACGAACGTTTCAACCTTTCTTAGCTGCCGGCTATTCAAAACTCTCTTATGTGTATATTGTAATATTTGTGATACGGCTGCGAAGAAGATAAAGTGGACCGAGAAAACTTGCTGTTCGCAAGTACCGGACCTGCAAACTTTGCCACATGTGACCTTCGGTGCATTCATTTACTTGATGTGACGCTGCGCCTAGTGATGCTTTGAGGTTATTCATGGGAACTGTTCCCAACTGACATTGCAATGTGGTGATCTGACATTGCAGTGGTCTGTACGGGGTGCTCAAGCAGCTTAATGAATCGCACATGTAGAACGACCAGGGGGGACTCTTTTGAGCATTGAATTTTGCTTGTTTTGGTTTATTGAACCACCGTACAGGTAGAAACGTGACGCCCCTGTGGCGTATATGACATTCTGACTGATGTGCGAGAATGTTAACTCATGTATTTTGAACTTCCATTTCGTTAAATATTTATTTTAGTTTGCCCTCTTGCTTCAAGCTTACTAAGTCACTGTTGATGTTATGTCAATGAAAAATGAATTAATCATGACCGATGCCAAAAGAATGATAAAACCGAACAGTTTGTGTCATTTGCTGCATTCATTCGTTGGATAGCCAGCCACTTAATGATGACCCTTTTCTTGGCGGAAGAAGTGAACTTAAACTCAAAAGCTTTACGTGAAGAAGGCAAACTATGGACTTATATCAACTCTGAGATGTCCTATTAATTCAAGTTCGCCTGGTTTGTGGTTGTTAGGCAATGAAAAGTGTACATCATTGCCTTATTTGGGATGAAGTAGCGATTTGCGCTGCATCATTGTAATAAATTTATTGCAGTAAATGCTCTGTGGCACCCTTCCGCTACCTTCGACCTAGTGTAATTGTTAATGGTGGTCAAGCTGAACATATATGACTCGTAATAGCGATTAGACATACAAAAACAGAGGTTTTAAGAGCTTCTCCACATTTCATTGTTTTGTCTTTTTTGTTTCTGCGTTGTCACAATGAAGACCTCAGTTTTACGTAAAAATTAAATCTTGTGTACTTCTATCAGAATCCTTACATCCTGCGCTGTCTAAAGCGATGCATCCATACCAATTAGCTTAGGCTAGCTGGTAATGCATAATTAAATGCATGATTGGACGGAACTTCTAGCACAAAACACAAAAATACGCGTTAGTCACTAGAGCTCCCTACCATATATTTAGAGCACCGACCTTCTCGCAGAAGAGACAGGGAGACACGGCAGGTACGAACGCTTACTTCCATAGCTTTATAGCGCGGAACGTCTTGCACTATAGACAAAGGGACCCAACAGACGCAGTAGCTTGCTTCAATTTACCTTCGTTGGAAGTAAGCGCTCGTTTCCGTCGTGCCTTTTTGTCTTTGGTACAAGGAGTCCCTCGCTACAAGCTTGTAATTATGTTTAGTGAATTCAGGATGATACAACAATGCCAGAAGTATATATAAAAAAGGGACAGGGACACCAAAGCTGGCACCAGCACTACCTTCAGTAATACATATTCATATATTTAAAAGCTTGGTCTATAACCGCATGAACACAAGCCAATGACGTTTGCAGAAAGGAAGAATCTCAAGATTAAAGGTGTACAAAAAAAAACGAGTGTAACTGGTAATAAACCTATTCAAGAGAGAAATTTCTGCGTCATGACGGCAATATACGACACGCTTAAACATCTACAGCCTTTTCTGTGTCTAAAATAGATTACTATTGCAAGCACCGTCTACGACGAAGGGGGGGGGGGGGGGTTTGAAGCGAACGCTAGCTTCAGTGGAAGGAAGAGGGTACAGTTCTTGAGCCGAGAGACAAGGACGCGGCTAGTGTGACCAGTTCGGAACACCAGGGCTTCTCTTGAGGCCACACCTCCTGAGGCCTTATAACGGTGAACCAACGCGCTGCGAGATTGGTCTGCTGCCATTGTTTATCATAAAGGCGGTCCGTGCGAGAAAGAGCTAATTTGTAGCAGCCGTGATTCGGTCTCCAGGGGTGCGCCCCAGATGCCATGCGGGCATGATGCGTAACTGCTTGCAACGGCTTGCTGCGCAATGGCGTGCTGTGGCGCAACTGCATCGTATAGACCGAGCATAGCCCATTCAACGTCTCTCTTTGGCATCCCGCGTCCTCTGCACAGCCGTTGTATGAGATCGCCCAACAGCTTTCTTTTGGTTTTCGTCGCCAAGAAAAAAAAAGCAATGTCCCCATACCAGTTGTACTCGATAGTTTGTCCTAGAGTGTTCGCAGTATTGTTTGTTGAATAAGCCATGAAAGGTCTTTCTTGCCATATGTAGAGATTGTTGCATTCGATGGAGGTGAAATCATAAAAGGCCCGTGTACTGTGTCTTGTGGGTGCACGTTAAAGAACACCAGATCATCGATATTTACGGAGTGCTCTGCTACAGTAGGCCCTTATAGTGATGTCGTGGTTTTGGGACATTAGGCCTATATAATAATGCTAATATTACTATTATTGCTGCTGCCACAGCTTCCACAAATAATATAATAATAATAACATTAGTAATGATAATAATAACAACAATAATAATAATAATAATAATAATAATAATAATAATAATAATAATAATAATAACAGGGCATTATAATTATTATTGTTGGTGGTGTTTTTGTTTTAGGCTCTTTTGAATATATAGCAGTTTACCACACTGCGATGGTCAAGTGCTTGTGCTTCTTATGGCTGCTAGAGACACGTGAACTACGACTTGGGGACAGGTTCCAGCTCCCCAGGCGTAACACATTTCCTGAGCCTTGAATTGGGAAAGTCATCATAATCGCATCGTAGTTTCTTAATGTAAAACTGCAATAGTAACTATAAACCCCAGCAATTACAATGATTACTGCTATAAAAGCCAATCTTTGTCTGAGTTAGAATTTCGTATGTATTCTCTTTTGTCGTATCTTTATCAAGCCGTCGACTACAGCGCCTACAAGTGTTTGTTATCTGCATATGCAATAACAAATAAACATGTTTATTTGATCTCATTAGAAGCACTCCCGTAACAATATTATAAAAAGAGCGAGCCAGGCTCCTTAAACATGCGGACGCCGAACACTTATATCTCTTGATTCCATTTCACGCAAGTAACAAAACCTATTTCATTGGCAACATCTCGCACGGGGTGTTGCTTTCCAAACATATCTCGAAAGAAGATGTGAAGAAAACAGAATATTAAGAGGAAGCGAAAGATAGACTGATGTCTGGGCATTAGATATGCATGTGCCTTCAAGGCCGGTGCCATCGGCAAGGCACAAGATGTCTGTATGTCGTGAAGCGCTCTGAGAGAGTGAAACGGAAAGGAGAGTGCTCCGAGGATGCGGGGAGAAGAGGAACCGGTTTTAGATCGCGCCTCCTCCCTCATTGGCGCGATAACATTCACCGTCGAAGTGACGTGACTCTGCGTCAGTAGAAAGAAAACACGGCAGCCGGCCACAGTGCTAGTCGGCTGCGGAAACCTCCAACCACCTTCACACCTCCCATGAACAAACCTGGCGTTCGCAACAGGTAAGCGACAAGACAGGTGAGCTGACACAGTCACCCTTTGTGTATCAGCTGGAAAGCCCAGTGCAACTCGTTCTCTAGCAATTGAACTTGCTTGCCCCTGTCTGTGCACTATACTTACTGCAGCATACATTCCTCAGCTGATTACGGCTACGATAAACCTGTTTTCCTTCTTAGTAAAACAGCGCAGTGCAAAAGTTTGCAAGAAGGCTTGGACAAAGAAAAAGTTCCTGCGTCTGGTAGCGATCATTGGCACAGATTAAACAGCAAACCAAAGCATTTGTGATACCAAGGGTGTTATGGGAAGCGCATTACCGTTGACTGCATCTCGGCAGACCGTAAACGTCGCCGCAGATTTGCCATGTACTTTCAAAATATGTCGTTCGACCATGTCTCACGATCTGGAATCTCTAGGGTGGGGCAAGAACGCAGAGCTGTAGACGTGTGCGCAAAGCGCTTCTTCGCATATATCTGGTCGTCAGCCGGGCCCGTACCTACAAATGCTCGCGTTTGTAGTACACCTAGGAAGTGATGCTTCGCCAGCCGCGCTTTGTACGAAATAGCGGTGTTCTATAGATTTTTTAGATGTCTTCTTAATAAGAGGCGTTTGGTGTGGCCGTGTTTGCTGCGGTAGCGTACAGATGGCGCCATTGCTTTGTAGAGGTGACATCATTTGCTCGTTGCAAATTGAAGTACCACGCTATGGCTGGAATTTGCTGGCTTGAAATGCTCCAGTTTAGGCTACTGCTTCGAGAGCCGTGGTTTGGTGAAAAATAGGTCTGTTTTTAGACAACTTCTTGATTAGCAGCGCACAAGGCTTAACGTGCGGGTCTTCTTTGTTTGCTGCAATCTTGTTGAGATCACGCCTATACCGTTATCTCGCTTTTAGTTTCAACTCTCGTTACAGATTGTGTAACGACATGTTAACAGAGAGCTATCTCATTCCCCATGGTAAGCCCACGTGAAATGTGGCCGCAGAGACTTGAGTTAGTGCTTGTACACATGCCTAGATGATGAGATATGTGTTTGTATAATAATTTCAATTTCTGCCGCTAGCGCCGAAGACGAAATTGTGCAACTCAGTGTGGCCTGTCTATGCGTGAGCATTGCAAACACATCGATAAAATGTAATGCCTCTTCCAGAATCCTACATCCTACTCTGCTGCTCAACACAGGCCTTTTGACATCAACTGGACATTCGTGTGGCAGATGGACATCGTTTGAACACGTAGCGAAAGAGTTGCGCCTAATGCAACGTGGACTGAGTTCGCAAGTTCGCTGCACCACTGGTAAGTCGATTTCACCAAAAGTGCCACCATCACAGTTGTCGCACTTTTTTCGTGGAAAAATTTCCATCGAGGGCAGTTTTTGTGAAAACGCACTCTGGAATAAACACAGAATCTTCGTTTAAAAATAGGTAGACCTTTTGAAATGGCCCTGGATCATAATCTTTGTGATGCTGTTATATTCACATGTAATCGAAGGATACCGATTAATGACCACAGGACAGGCGCCAAGTGGGAGCCCTGAAATTGAATACTCAGGCGAGCAAAGCTGCTTCGCTCTTTGTCATGCTGTGACTTACATCGGTCGCGTTATTATCAGCACTATGATTTGTCCACTCCATAGAAATTTGCACATACAGATAATGAAGCATTTTTTGTCAAATAGAGAGGTATCCACAGTTCCCATGACAGCATTGTGTCAAGTCAAAGTAGGTAGTTAGTACGTGTTGTTCGAAATCAACATTTATGTGTTTACTCTCGCTATCTAACTCAACCAGTGAGATAGCACGATCTTTCCATGTTGCGTTATACTAAGATGTGTGTAGGTCTTTGAGACAATTCCATTAAATTAGTAATTAGTTTACTGTTTCCAGTTGATTCTACTAGTTTGGTGCGTCAATATAGTACCGGTTGATACACTTTAGTAAAAAAAAAATATGTAAACGTTTTTACCTAATGTGTACGAATGTACTAGTTATTGAGCACTGGTTTCTTGAAAAAGCAGCGCACAAAAGATACAATCACGCACTAGAAGAAAGAAATATTTTACCTTAATTCACAAGAGCAGCAACGCAAATATCCATGTGTAATGCAAAGAAAATGAAGGCTAAAAAAAGATTTTGCAGAGTTACCTTCCTCAAGAAGGCACTAAAAAAATGCGGGAATGTTTGATCTGTAAATCGCTGGTAACAACCTTGCATTTTCGCTATTGTACTTTGCCAAATCATTGCGCTACTATTAGTATTTTCTCATTGCGTTTCAACGTTTCTTAACGTTTCCCTGCTAATTTCGATGCATTGCCCGCCAAACGTTGTCATTTGTTCGTGAGCGATTCACTCCCTACCGTTGGCGTGTACCAAAGCAGACCATGACGGGCTGCATTACGTAAATACGTTAAAAACTCTTCTTGCCTTTTGCTGATTGCCACCTGTTCATTCATTTGACTACCAAAATGTTTTGGTTTTGTTGCATGTTGCACGGTCCTTAACTTCTACCAGTGTTTCTTAATTACCTAGAAGTTTCCACTGCCATTCCTGGCAGTGCTTCAGAGTATATAGTTTTATAGATTGTGAATCGGGGACCTGCAGTGGTAGATGGCCTGTAATGATTAGGGAATGTATGCGTCAGCGATTTAGCCAAGCCATCTTCTTTAATGATGTTTCCTTGGCCGGCTGTTTCATAAATAATCGACTTGCCCCTGCACACCTTCGTTGTGACTCCAGAGGTGGGCTATTCTATTTGTCCTGTTCCAGGAACAGGAGAAAAAGGGAAATGCTCCTTTATTGAACGGCAGAAAATGAACCAGGTTCGTGCAGATCCCCAACTTTGTACTCGTCACTGAAAAGGCAGGCTGCACTGATAGGTAGGAGTGGGTCCTTAGGTGTGCTATGGAACTCTAATGGGGACCCAAAGACTTGACTGAAATCCACAGTTGACAGAACAAAAAAGTAAATGTTTATTTATGGCAGTTATGCACATTGTATATTGCCACGCGCTAGTTTAATAGACGCTGAGAAGCAAGAAGTTGGTGGCTGTTGTGGCTGAAATTAAACAGCCGTTAGCTACATCTCGATCCCTTTGTCGTTTCCTATCGCGACAATGTGATGTATGGTTGTCTCACTACGATTTTCAGGTGCTGCAGCAATAAGCGTGGTTTTAAGCACATAGAATGTGTCCTCAGTAAGGGATCTCGTGACCAGCCGTTGTAAGTTTACACTGACTAAAGAGCATGGCTTGTGTACTTGCACCTTGAGCACACTGTTCATGAATTACACGTTTTTATTTCTCTGTCACATATGCATGTTTAGACGTTTTATTTTGAAAATGAATGAACCAGTATGATATGCTTTCAGGTCCATCACTCGGGTTTATGAAACGTAAATTCTTTGCGCTCCTGTTACTCTTCTCTTAGTACATTTGCACCCATTTTCTATTGCTCCAATAATAAAAAAAGAGTTCAGAGTTTTCGTAGGCACACTATTAAGAGAAACCCTTGCAATGAGAAGCTGGGATTTTTCACGACTTCTGTGTTATGTGCAGATGACACAATCAGTGGCGAGCCGGTGCAAATTCTTCGGATAGAAGGCGGCGAGACCATCGTCGTTTGATGAACGTGCACTCGAAAGCATCCTCCTCGCTGACCACGTGAAAGACCGTTCAGTGGTGGTTATATCCATTGCTGGTGCATACCGACAGGGGAAATCTTTCCTGCTCAACTTCTTACTGACTCACCTCAGGCACAAAGGACGAACCAAATGGATCGAAGAAACGGATACCCCACTCAGAGGCTTCCACTGGCGGCCGGGCAGTACTCGCGAGACAGCGGGCGTTCTACTTTGGAACGAAGTCTTTTTGGTGGGAGTTTTACTTTGTAGCAATGTCCAAGCACTGAATATTTACACTTGTTTTTCCAGATGACCAACTCAGATGGAGAGAAGGTGGCGGTTTTACTGATGGACACACAAGGAACCTTCGATTGCGAGTCGACAATGAAAGAGAGCACCGTGATATTCTCTCTCTCCTTGATTGCCAGCTCTGTGCAAATTTACAACATAATGAACAACATCAAAGAGAATGACCTTCAACACCTTCAGTTTTTTGCTGAGTACGGCCGACTTGCACAAGAGGTATTTACAATGGAAGTTTAGCTCGATATGTTAAGTTTACACTGACAGCCCCGCGTTGTTCCAGGACAACAAAACACAGGCCTTCCAAAAGCTTCTGTTTTTGGTCCGGGACTGGAACTGGGTGCATGAGTTCGAGTGTGGTTTCCAAGGGGGCAGATCACTCATGACTAGTCGTCTAAACACAACGAGTGGTCAAGCGGCAGAGCTGAAGATTTTGCGACAAAATATCTTGTCTTCCTTTTCGGACCTTGACTGCTTCCTCATGCCCCACCCCGGAAAGAAGGTAAAGCTTTGACCTCAGGATTTGATATTCTAACTAATGCGAATTAGTGTCGATAGTCCGATATTGTCCTTAAATGTTACCTTGTTCACTGCTATGTGCGAGAGAAGCTTTGCACCACCCGAAAATGGAATTTTCTTCAGGATTTCCGACCACCACGATTGAAGTTAGAATAGAACTTCTACATACTTTTTGAAAAGCACTTAGGTGTGTACTGGTAAAAAAATTGAGATGTTCTCATAGTACTGCGAATACACAAAATAGTTGAAAAATATTACGAAATACCAGTGTTCTAACCAATATAAATTATTATTCCTGAAGCAAAGAACATTTGCGGAAGAACTTCGCTATAAGCAATACACGTATTGGTGAATTCATTGTAGTGGGTTTCCGTAACCCGTATTTGACAGCACCACATTATATCAAGTAGAAGTAATCGATACGTGTCATTAATATTCTTTTCTAAACTTATAGAAAAAAAAACTAATTTTTGTGCTACCGTGCGCTCAGTATAAATGAATTTCCGTGTAATAACGAAGATTTAACGTGTAAACTTCTTGACCTAATTCACTTTCTTGCAGGTAGCAATGGATAAGTCATTCGATGGTCGTCTTGCAGACACCGAGGAAGAATTTCGAAAGAAGCTTCCGGAACTTGTTCTTTCTATTCTGGCACCGGAAAATCTGTTGGTCAAAAAGATTAATGGGCGAAAATTATCGTGCCAGGACTTCGTGACCTTCTTTAAGGTGAATATATAAACTGCCCACGAAACAGTTATATCAGTAATACGCGAAATATGGTACTAAGGAAGGCTTCATTTCTTTTAGACGCTATCTAATAAAATCAAACAGCAATGAAGCCATGAAAGGCGACATGTACATGGGATGTGAATTTCAACTGCTTGAATGACAAGTACCTTAAAAGGGTCCAAAGTCATTTTACCGCACAAGGAGATTGAACTTAGTAACTTCAAAAAATGCATCTGTAGTCCAAGCTTCACTAGATAGCTGCAAAAGACAGTACCATATTTGCTGTCATGGCCAAGAGCGGCGCTGGTCAACACTCTCAAGAACGCAGACACAAACACGCAACAAAGCAGATAGAAAGCAACCATTGCTGCAGCTCACTGGATAAAACGCCTGTCTTCTTGAAGATGATTTTTCTTGAACTCTGATTCTTTTTTTTCAAATATGTAATACGTATTATGCGATGCTTACAAAATAAAAAAATTCTCCTATACTTTCCTTAGTTTTATTGTCACTTGGTTTGATTTGCCTACAGGCCACTAATCACACTTGCTTTCGCAGGTTCATGTTGGATGTCTTCAAAGGAGGTCATTTGCCGAAACCAACATCCATGCTGACGGTGAGCCACTTTAGGTATTGTTCACAAATATTTCAAAAGCACCACACCATTTCAGGCGACTGCAAATGCACTGAACATGGCGGCCAAACTCAAAGCCTCAACTCATTACAAGTCTGGGATGACAAGTGTAAGTGAATGTTTCGTATAAAACTATGCAAGTGATCCACGCCTATTTTTCGTTTACGCAGAGACCTCTCAGAGACCTGAATGCACTGGGCCTCCTTCATCGTGAAATGCTGACCAGGGCCAAGAAGGTGTTTGATGAGTTCCCGAAGGTCGGTGGTGAAGTGATGTCGTTAACATACAAGGCTGATCTCATAAAGGCAAGATCTTTGATATGGCATTTTAAGTATTTTCCTAAATGATCGGCATGTGCAATTAATGAAAGCTTGCTTGCAAACTAAAAAGCAATGACTGAGAGACTATGAAATAATACTAGAAGGAAAAGTACCACGATTAGATATGGTACATCTCTCCCAAATATCTGTCCAAACCTTAGGTGAACAAAAATTGTGTAGTTTACTAAGACCCACACATGAAATTTATTTCGTACTTCAGGCACACTTCACTCACACTCAAACTCATGGTCCGGTCTGAGTTTCAGTGAGTCCAAGTGAGTTGACACTAGAGCTCATCAGCCAAGACGTAGCTTGGGCCACCTAGCTGTTAATGCTCTTTAACACCGACATCTCGCGTAATCGGTGCTCGTTTTTGGTGACTATTAGGTAGTACTTTTAAAAGACGAGTCTAAATTTGTTGCAAACGAGTAAGAATATTTTTTTCTTGAGATGAGGACATCATGAAATATATTTATCGAGAACCCTCCTAGAAGATGGGGTACAGTATTAGCGAATATTCGGAAAAAAAGATCGATTCTACAAAAAAAGTACGAGGGAGCAGAAAGGCACAACGCTAAAGCGCTGCCTCCTGCTTCTTTTCTAAAATCTGTCTTCTAAGTTTCCGCTTTTACTCCATTGATGTTAACCAACTCGTCCAACAGGGATTGTTTATCGTGTACTCCTGTCTTGTGGACTTGAGTGCGTAGGTCAGTCAGGCAGGTGTCTTATTGTAAGACTTCAGGAAGATTACCAGAAAGTAAGAAGTGCAGGACGAGATGGTTTTTCGGCCGCTCATTGTTCCGAATGTGGGTGTCAGTCATTGTTCTAAAATACAAGGGTTATCGCGTCCCACCCTAACAAAGGCACCAGACTAGTAATCGAAGCTGCAGATAGCTCGAGGCACCTGCATCAGCAAACCATCAATAGCGTTATCTGAAAAATAATTGGCGTTCTTAAATTGGGCACGTGATGGTCCGAGGTGAGCACGTGGTTTTTCGCTTTCTCTTTTTACTTTTGATTTTGGGTTTTTTGTTTTTCTGGTTTGTAAGCAAGTAATCTTATCGTCTTTTTTTGTAACATATATATGTGCATCGTAGTAGCAATAAATTTAGTTGAAAGTCTGCGCTCGTCCTCGTCTTTTGTGTTACTTGTCGGAAGTTTTTGCACTGAGAAGTTCATTAATCGTCCGACAAGTTCCATTCCTTAGAAGAGTTGGTGGCGGGGCAGGGGGGGGGGGGATAAATTCAAGACTTCCTCTTCATAATTTACGGCTCTGATCAGTAAATATTGAAATGGTCTATGAACAACTTTTTATTAAATATGTGTGAGTAGAAGCGAGTGTACAAGTGAATATAAGTAAGGCTGATAATAATGCTGAAGACGAGTAGATCGGACAAGAGGTCAACAAAAGCAGGTAGAACTCGCTCACACTCACTCAAGAAATATATCGCACGCTTGGCGCTCATTTGTACTCACACTCGCCGTAACTTTCCTCAGTCGGACTCGCTTGGACTCACAGTCATATACATTTCCTTGAATCATACTCACTCGGATCAAAACTCACCAAAATCTCACTCATGCTTACGCACTCGTGAATCCACTCATGAGTTATATTACCTTTGAAAGCTGCTTTGGTCTCCGTAGATCAGTATTTCAGCCAGCATTCGCGGTTTTTTAGTTATTAGCTGAGACATTAGGTGTACCATCTCCTCAGAGTGGACGTACGCTGAGCACTTCTCCACCTTTTTTTTGTCTCCCAGAAGCGTGTTTGATTTCAAAAGGTTCTCCATGTATTCCCAATAACTCACCGCTACATATCTTTTAGCCCGAAATGTAAAATAAATTCAGATTTGTGAATCATGGTCAGAAGTTCCTAAAAAGGGATGTTCGAATATGTGGCCGTTTGAGCCATAGATCTTGTGATGCAGTTACTTTAACAAAGACTAATAATACTATTTTGAGACGTACACGTGTGTCTACTGCTTTCTGTGTAAAGCTGTTAGCTTGCAGCACAACATGCTACGGTAAAGTTACAGTGCGCTTGCTCTTCTTTATCCTCGAATGAATGCTAATTAATATCCTCGAGTAGACATCCAGTTTGATGAAAATCCATATTATAGAATATAAACTTTATAGAAATTTACACTGTAAAATTATTAACCGCCGTGTTAAAAGGAAGCAGAACTCATGGAGGTCACACATGCACATTTTGCAAGCATGCATGGCGATGACCTAGAGGTTAAAGTAGACGCCTAGAAGAGTTGTTGGGGCACACTTGAAATAGTTATGCATAATGACGCCTCTTCATGAATCATCATTAAAATGCCTCATGATGAGGCGTCCAAATATTGACATTATTTCTTTAAAATAATTCAGAAACATCGGCATTGCTCTAATTGTTACCAATGCAGCTTTGCGATCTTTTCTGATGAACTGCATAAACGGTTCTTTTAGACTTGCTGACGTGTGGCATCACCTACTTCAACCAATGAAATTGTAACAAAATTTGTTCTGGTTGTACTATTTTGTATAATTTTATATTCTTGCTCTCGTCACGTTAAATAATACTATGTGTCACCATTGACTCTTTTCCCTTCCCTAACTATTTTTAAGCCACTGTTATTTTTTTTATTTCAAAGAAACTAGGCAATTGTTGCGAGGATGCTTTTGTTGTAGTTTCGATTTGCATTCGGTTTGGTTGTTTCTTGAGAAGTACAAAAACATCACTGGGTATGTAAATACCCCACAAAACCTCCCGATTCGTTTGTTGTTTTTGCAGGAGCTTGAAGGACTGTTCTCTCACTTCTGTGAGAGAGCAGAAGAGTTCATCGGAATTGAGAGAGAAGCAGAAGAGAAAAGAGAGAAGGAAAGACAGGAAGAGAGAAAAAAGAAGTGGGAGAGGGAAAGGGAACGAACTGCTCAGAAAGCGAAGGCGGAAGCACGAGAAAAAGAAATAGAGAGAGACAGGAAGGAATTTAAAGATAGGGAAACGATTTTACTGAGACAGGTGCTGGCAAGAGAGGCAAGTCTGAAGAAGCTGAAAGAAGAGGCTGATCGAGAA